ATGCATTAGCACTATGTCCCCATCTAACCTACCGCTCGCACCCGAGTTCCCTGCAACAGTGCGACCAGTGAGTCTGCTTAGTTTCAGATCACACCATGTTTTTGGAACAAAACTTGTAATGTTCACCCAAGTCGAATTATTCCATCTATCTCCACTTTTTCTCGTTGCAACTCCGGCCATTTACCCGGCCACCCAAAGTCACCCATGGCCAGCAATGGTTTTCTCAGCTTTCGTTCTTCTCGGCGGGTTAGTCTTTGAATTAGTCGAACCTCATGCCCATTATCCCCTACAACCTGGGAAAGGAACCTATTATTACTATTTTATCGAATACTTCTCACCATTTGCGACATTGTGCTTCGGAGGATTTTCGGTTGAAAAATTCTGAAGCGAGTAACTAACTGAAGCGGTTCTCGCAAAATCCTTTAATGCCTATAAGTACAGCTAGGGCGCGTATTCCACACTTCACCATTTTTATATAGTGTCTTGACAACTGTCAACTAAATGACCACAAAAATCAAAAGACAGTGACAAACATGGGGAGATGAAGAAAATATCTGATGAAAGTAAAATGGTGATGGAGGAAATTAGCTTACGTGAATGTTTACTGCAAACCAACTTAGTCAGTAAGCTAGTGAGAAATAGTTCACGTCACCCTCTTTTGCCAGCCGTTTATGCATTCTTCCTCCCTATCAGCGCTCTTCCCTGGCAACTATGATTTATTAGTTTCGTTTTCAGTAGGCATCGCTACTGTCTTTTTTGATAGTAATAATAATAATAACGATTCTTCTCAACTTGTGAATGGTATGCCGTGGAGCATGATCATACGTTTACGGTAAAAATGAAACATGACCGGGGGGTTTGCGGGTACTGGGGATTGCGCGAAAGGAGGACAATGACACAATCGGTGGGCAATATCCGATGAAATAATAGATTTATTTCCAAACTTCTAGGAAATTATGGGCACGAGTCCCGACTAGCTCAAAGATGAGGCAGGTTGACATGAGCTAAAACTGGTAATCATTGCAAGCCTCTACCAACTCTGCGTCATGAAGTACACCCACCCGCTCCGTACAGTACTCGGGGTCGAATCTTCAATCCGCGCCATAAGCCATAGATGAGGAGAAAAATAACAAACTGGCCTCTCATCTAGCAAAAAAATAAATAAATAAAAATGAAAAAATACAACTGGGAAAACCTGAAGATACTCTGCAATGCCCATGGCCCTCATCGACGAGCATAGCTGTATCCGCCTTCGTCAGAACAGAGGCCACAAAGCACGGACGCCAAATTCGTTGACCAAACAAAGAATACATCTACCTACCGCTCCCAGTGGTGGACAAGAAAGTATTCTTCTCGATGAACCACTTACACGTTAAAGCTGAAAGCAGTTATTTGGGGACTGGTGGCCATTTTTCTTGCACATACTTTCTGTACTGGTAGTGTCCAACTCACGTAATAGATACCAGATTTATCGGTTATCTTGGAAGTTCACTCCCGTCAGCCGCTATACATCTGATTTCCACACCACCACTCTGAGCGCTTATATCGGCTTTTGCCATATCCCTTGTAATCTTATATCGTATGCTACCAATTCCAACACCTGGCCGATAGTCTAAGTGAAAATCCGTCTATATCTTATTCCGTACAGTCACGTGACATCATTTTAATCGTGGCAGATGTCAAGTTTTCCTTTCTGATGCACATTATCACAGTTGATGTCTCAAACTCACTATGCTCTACTAATCTCATCCCACCCCCTCATCTCCCGAAGCTTGGAACCTCGGCAATGTCCAGTTTGGACGATCTGGTTGGTTGTTATCCACTCCACCCGGCCTATGACCTACAACCACAGGGTCCCCAAACGAACCACGAAAACCCGTGATCCCCTATTGGCATCGATCCACCTCGTTTTCTCGGCCTTCCTGAAATAATTCCCGCTGCTCGAAGAACTGTACACCTCAGCCTAATAACCTTAAATGCGACGTCCGTTGCGAGGCTGTCCAAAAACCGGAGTATGTCAGGCCAGTGATGATAATAATAATAATATGCTTTATTCTCAACTTGTGGGTGGCACGGCACGGTTATACCAAGTTTGATAACACACCCGCAACCATTCCACTTCAACTCTCGATCGTGCTTTCTCTCCCACTCGTTCCATTAACTGCAAAAATCTGCATAAAAACCGCCTCTGGGACGAGTCCTTTCATACCCGATGGATTTTCGCTGAAACCTGACCAGCCCGGTTTTTTTCCTGCAAATTCGGCTTGCCCTTTCTACAAGTTCAATTTCGTATATGGTGTTCGGGTCGTCCTATGCATTAGCACTATGTCCCCATCTAACCTACCGCTCGCACCCGAGTTCCCTGCAACAGTGCGACCAGTGAGTCTGCTTAGTTTCAGATCACACCATGTTTTTGGAACAAAACTTGTAATGTTCACCCAAGTCGAATTATTCCATCTATCTCCACTTTTTCTCGTTGCAACTCCGGCCATTTACCCGGCCACCCAAAGTCACCCATGGCCAGCAATGGTTTTCTCAGCTTTCGTTCTTCTCGGCGGGTTAGTCTTTGAATTAGTCGAACCTCATGCCCATTATCCCCTACAACCTGGGAAAGGAACCTATTATTACTATTTTATCGAATACTTCTCATCATTTGCGACATTGTGCTTCGGAGGATTTTCGGTTGAAAAATTCTGAAGCGAGTAACTAACTGAAGCGGTTCTCGCAAAATCCTTTAATGCCTATAAGTACAGCTAGGGCGCGTATTCCACACTTCACCATTTTTATATAGTGTCTTGACAACTGTCAACTAAATGACCACAAAAATCAAAAGACAGTGACAAACATGGGGAGATGAAGAAAATATCTGATGAAAGTAAAATGGTGATGGAGGAAATTAGCTTACGTGAATGTTTACTGCAAACCAACTTAGTCAGTAAGCTAGTGAGAAATAGTTCACGTCACCCTCTTTTGCCGGCCGTTTATGCATTCTTCCTCCCTATCAGCGCTCTTCCCTGGCAACTATGATTTATTAGCTTCGTTTTCAGTAGGCATCGCTACTGTCTTTTTTGATAGTAATAATAATAATAACGATTCTTCTCAACTTGTGAATGGTATGCCGTGGAGCATGATCATACGTTTACGGTAAAAATGAAACATGACCGGGGGGTTTGCGGGTACTGGGGATTGCGCGAAAGGAGGACAATGACACAATCGGTGGGCAATATCCGATGAAATAATAGATTTATTTCCAAACTTCTAGGAAATTATGGGCACGAGTCCCGACTAGCTCAAAGATGAGGCAGGTTGACATGAGCTAAAACTGGTAATCATTGCTGGCCATGAGTGACCTTGGGCTGTTGAGTAAGTGGCCAGTGTCACAATAAGCAAAGATGGAGGTGGAGATGAAACAATTCGAAGTGGGAGCAGGTAGCAGTTTTCGTCTCAAAGATGTGGTTCATTCTAAAACTAAATGGACTCACTGGTTCCACTGTCGTAATGAAGCCTGACGCATAGGATAGGTTGGATGGGGAAGTAGTGTGAATGCATAGGGCCGAACGAACACCGTATCTGGAATTGAACTTGTCGAGTAGGCAAGTCGAAATTGCAACAGAAAACCAGGTCGTCAAATCCGAATGAAAGTTTCATCGGGTTAGAGACAGTCAGAGGCCGCAAATCCCAGAGACGGGACCAGGTTGAAAATCTGCTCATAGCTGCAATTGCAGGCTCGAGTGGGCGAGAGGTTACGGTCGAGATTCTGAAGAAAACAGTTGCGGGAGTGCCATCAGTTTGTGTATGACAGTACCATGTCATCATTCACCGGCATACTTCGGCTCATGGACGACCCCGTAACGGTCGTCAAATGTGCCGCGATGGGAGAGGCAGCTGGATCTGTGTTAGATGAGAAGAGAGTGTCAGGCCGATGCATTTCACTACCACACGAGGTAGATACGTACTTGTCCAACATATTGGACGTAGAGCAGTAATACACAGACCTCTTGGCACCCTCTCAGATCTATTTGCTGCCTAACACGTTGGGCTCCATTTGCTTCACGCCACACCAATATATTCAATGGGTCAACTGTAAAATCTTCAAGGGATCCTTCCACTAAAGGGCCCGTATACGCTGCAGACAAATCTGCACCCCTTTGGTCCGCGCCTTCCGCCCCTCACACTTGTCGGACACGGACGGTACGCTTTTATGCAATCCCTAAAATCAAAAGGCCCCAATTCTCTGGTAGCCAAATGGAACACGCTTTAAGACTTTAAATCCGCTTTCGCCCCATCCTACTAAAAATGCATCATTTTAATTGCACAAACACAGAGCACAACGTTTCGTGCGTACCAGTGCTTATCAGTCCAGAATCACGTCATCGGCGACGAACAGGGAAATTTAGACAATATTACCATTATTTTGCAACCGAGCAAGTGTGACAGTGACAATCTGTCCCGGTGTATTCTGTGCCACCGGTAATTCATCCCCTGTAACCACTACCCCCGCCTCTCAAATAACCGAGCTGAGTATATACAGAATACTATGGTGTCACTGAAACGACAAGATTCAACTTATTTCGGCCTAAACCAACTGGCAACGGAAGCACCCCCTCATATACTTGAGGAGCGCGAACACTCGTGCCTAACCCAAACTCCATGCAAGTAGGAGACGAAAACTCCCCACCCGTAAGCCACTGAAAGTGAGGAGCGTGATTGTAAGCCCGTCCAGGACATTCCGCGGTAGAAGCATGCTTCACAACCCACATGTAAACTAAAATGCTTCGGAAAAGAAGCAGTTCACAACTGCTATCCAGGTCACGGGGTTATCCAAAGTTGCATTCCCGGTAACCCGAATCCAGGCTGAAGGAAAATCCCTCCTCACACATTCTGAAATCCTCGGTCACACTCACAACAAACGACTAGGCTCAAGTCGTTGCAACTTCTCACTCACTTGAGTGAAAAACCTCTGCGATACCGATCACTAACATGTGCTCGCATCTCAAAACATGGATGTCCTTGGGATCATCTCGTTTCTTACCTGCAAGATGGCCGACATCCTCTCTCTCCGCCGCTATGGCAAGTCCGTGGTCCGAACAGCATCCACTGCCAACGGACCAGCCATCCAGTATCAAATTATGTTTTCTCTTCCTCCTCCTTTCATTTATTCCCCCTATCTGTGTGGTATGAAATCGTCCAGCTTATCTGCAAAGGTGTTAACCGCTATGACTCAAATAAATACCGTTCCATAAGCCGCGAACGCATTCTGCGCAGACAATGGACGAATCGGGAATGAATATTCACTTATTCACCCAATCACCAACAAACTCCGCTTTATAATTCAGCAGCGGTTTTTTCTTTTCTCGTTCACCTGTGAGGAACACAAAACATTTCCTGTCTAACCACATCCTGACCATTTGGCGAATCATATGCACTGAGAGAGCTCTCTCCGAATTCTTGTGGGCTTTCGGCAAAATTTTTCATAATTTATGAGACCACCGAAGAAAACGCAATAGGTGAGAGTCACTTACCTAGCCAACTTTCTGGTTCCGCCTCTGTTCAGCCTGTCCGAATGTTTTAAAGGCTCGAATTCATCTCACCCTCGCATCTACAAGTTGGTCCCACAAGGTCTGGCGCATGAAACCACTCAGTCCCTAATCATCATCAATCCCCTTTCCGCTTGACGTTGGGGCACCACAGTAAGCTGATGACAAAGATATGTGGTAGGACGATCCTCGAACTTCGCACTAGACTACCAATGTATGTGGCTCCGTGGCTGAATTAAGTTTCCTCATTGTACTCCCTCCAAAACAAAACTATGTGCCCATTGGAAACACTCTTTTATCATGTCCGTCGATAGCAGCACCATTCTTGTCTCTATCATTGCTCATCAAAATGACTCGGATATCTCTCCGATTCAGATAGCCAAATACTACTTCAAGAGTTCGATCGGACTGGTGAACATCAGCTGTGAAACATTATCTACGTCAGTTCAAACTTTACTCGCTACCTTCCAATTTCTGCGCCCTTTTCTTCTCCGCAATTGTGTTCCTTTCTGGAAGAAACTTTAGCTCCCTGCCTTGGTGCATTCAAGAGCGACATCGAGCAGTTTCATCAATACCTGTTTCTCATTGGTCATTAACCATACCACTCTCCACTTTCTATAATCCAAGCTATCACTTAGTCGACCCGACTAGTAATAGATATCAATAAACTCATTAAGGCCCTCCATGAAGGATGACGAGGCCCGGTTCCATACAACTTTTCCAGACGTTCAACCAGAATGTGTGCTCAGAGTCGACGGCCTTCTTAACCGAGAATAGGAGCCTCTGACTTCCATGAATTGTGCTCACCTATTGAAGCAATTGAACTTTATCCCCGTCACGGACACCACCGTCAGCTGTCGGAAACAGTTAATTCTATGTTTCTCGTCACTAACTTCGGAAATTCATGCAACATCGAACACTGCCGCTTGGTCTCAAGAGCCTCCGACCATCGATTCGTGCACAGACCACAAATCCCTCTGGCACCATTGGTGAACTCAAATTTGTTTTAATCTCCTACTTCAATGCCAACTTTACTGTAAATAGTATGGCAGCGTCCATGGATGTTAACCTTCAGATGGATCAGGTAATTTTTGCCTAATTATGGGCTTACTATTTGATGACACGTTCCATACGGTCCTCTTTTGGAATAATTACCATTATTCATTTTGACATTTACATGCTGCTAAACTCTGTGACGCTGCTCATCGATAGTTTATGTAGTGGAACTTCCTAACATTTTGTGCTTGCTTAAACCCGGCCTCCATGACACAGTTTCATGTTTGCGCACAAGAGGCACCAGAAATCAGAGTATCATCTCCACTCCAATTTAAACTCTACTCAAGGCTGTGCTTGTTCGGAGGCGGAAACCCAACTTGAATGGATTCCGGAATGATAGATTTTCTTCAGGTCTGTTCCAGGGCAATGTTCTGTTGTCGATTTAAAGCTCGTCCGATTTAGTGCGTCGGTCCAATATCGAATCTTTGTAGAAAGCTATAGCGTTGCTTTCTACCCCAATTTATGCTCCACCGCCTTGTGTCTTTCTCTCCTTTTCGGATTCTCGTATCCCATTCGTGTGTGAAATCGCAAGTGGCTAGCCCTTCAATAGCTGGTAATTTTTATTGAACGTTTTATCAACATAGCGATGGTTTTCTTACATAATAAAAGCACAGTATCTATACACATAGTTAAAGCAATTTTAAGGAAGTTCCAAGAACTGTACGTGACGACCAGTCACGTAGTTCCAGGAACCGTTTGTGACGGATAACAGTGATCCGTAGCAAAAAATTCGGTTTGCCTAAGCCTTTTTAACTTGCGATAGAATTGCAGATGGGGACTTATCGTAACGGCTTTTAGACCTAGTTTTCAGTCCGTGACGGTCTTCCGGGAGATGTCTCTTCTCTGCCTGGTCAAGTGGGTCAGATTGGGACCAGATAGCGCAACTTCCCGCGTAACTAGCACCTGCATTTACCACCACGGTTTTCAGTCGTCATCAGGGTTGGGTTGGATCGCAATCCTCTGGTTACATTTGCCGTTGCCCCGAGGTACCACAGCCGTGAGCAAACAGTCGCACTACAAACAGGTTTTTTTTTTAACTTCTCTACCCGCATATAATCGTACTAAGATACGGAGCACACACCAATTTCTTTGAAGCCCTCCCTAGCAGTGCGCACAGGACCTTTGTTCTCACCTAAAGGTGGTGTCCTTAGAAGGGCGGGGGCGGGAAAAGTATGAATTCCCAAGAGGGATCGAAAATTTGCGATTTAAGCCCTAACCATCCCCAACCTAAATGACTATAAACGATTAGTGCCTAGTACAAAAAGCGCTTTCTCACGAATGGTAAGCGAGGATATTCAGATGTATGACTCCAACGGCTACCTCCGTTGTAAGTTCCTGACAAGTAGACATTATAGCGTTACGTATCTGCAGAAGACGGTTCTGCAAACAGGCTTTTCACATACGCACTACAAACGATTTTTTTTAGATTCACTACCCGCATATAATCGTACTAAGATACGGAGCACACACCAATTTCTTTGAAGCCCTCCCTAGCAGTGCGCACAGGACCTTTGTTCTCACCTAAAGGTGGTGTCCTTAGAAGGGCGGGGGCGGGAAAAGTATGAATTCCCAAGAGGGATCGAAAATTTGCGATTTAAGCCCTAACCATCCCCAACCTAAATGACTATAAACGATTAGTGCCTAGTACAAAAAGCGCTTTCTCACGAATGGTAAGCGAGGATATTCAGATGTATGACTCCAACGGCTACCTCCGTTGTAAGTTCCTGACAAGTAGACATTATAGCGTTACGTATCTGCAGAAGACGGTTCTGCAAACAGGCTTTTCACATACGCAGTTTGGCAGTCATAAGAATTAGCTTCATTTTCGTCCTAACGAGACTCAATTTCCTATTTTTTGCCGAGACCGTAGAAGAGCAAGAAGGATTTCTGGACTGGCTTGTATGGACCGCATACTTATATGACGCTTGGTGTTAGGGCAGCAGCGTGCATATGTGGCCAAACAGTCTTGATGTTCCTTGTGTGTTCGGTTCTGTTGACCGGTCCATTCTGTTTCACAAGCTCACGCACCACAATATGCCCTGGGATTCCATGAGTATCGTACGCTGATATTATCTATGTAGTTGTGGGCGCTTGAGAGTTTATGAAGAGCTCTTTAAAGTCCGTCCTACAAGCAGTAGTGTCCGGCCAGGGCTCCCATTATCCTCGTTTGTTTAATTTCGTCATTAATGCAGCGGCGAGGTGAACAGTGGTTAATCTAACCCCCAGGATATTCACGTCCCTCAGAGTAAGAACCTAAAATACCTGACATGCAGTCGACTTTGCCCTCACAGAATGGCTTGCGTAATTCTTAACCGTCTGCCCATCATAAATGGAGAGCGATCACCAGGGTTCTGGTTTGGGAGCTGTCCAGCTGTTCAACAAGAATGTATTTAAGATGTCTGCCCTGTTTCCTCCCTCTGTTTAAAGATTTCTACGAACCTTCCGTATTGACCATTTGACTGCCAGTAGAATGGCGAGGGAGTTGTGTGCATGATGGTGGACGGAACCAGACTGGTGAGCTGTGGGCAGGGTAGCGTCGAATGCAATGGTTTCTTTGAGTCCGTATCTCGGAAAAGGTGTTGCTGTTTAGTAATTGTTGCCACTATTGTCTCTGACCGAAATTTCCAAAACCCTGGTGTTCAGATCGTCTGTGAAGTAAACCTAGTCGATCTGGAATATGCAGACGACATCGTTCTCATATTCGAAGAGGAGGGAAGGCTCAGGTGTTCTTGGATGAACTGACCAAAGTCATTCCGTCCTTTGGTATGCACTTTGAACTTACAAAATGTAAGGTCATGCTCGTGGACATGCAGTCAGTCACCACGCCACTTACAATCCAGGAAGAGGTACTGGAAGATGTGGAGTGTTTTACGTATTTTGGAAGTTGTATTAGTTCTGATTGTAGTGTGACATGAGGTGAATGCACGAATCTGCAAGGCTGGGGCCGCGTTTGCTAACTTGAGATACCTATGGCGTCAGGGTGGTTTATCCCTGAATCTGAAAAGACGTGTGTATCAAGCTACAGTACGGGCTGTTTTGTTGTATGGCTGAGACTTTGCCCATTCGAGCAGCGGACCTGAGACGTCTTCAGGTGTTCGACAATCGTTGTCTCAGAACCATAGCTCGTGTGGGTTGGTGTCAGCGAATCCGTAATGAGGCAGTTAGAAAGCGCGTTTTCGGTTGTGTAACGGGTAC